TGTATACCTTCATCTAAATTTCATACAAGTACTTAGGGTACATTCCGCTGTGGACACTGTCCCAATCGATGTGTCCCAATCGAGTGTACCGCTCCGAACCGAACTAAACCAGAGACGCGAAAATTTCGAAACTAGGGTGCAATTTGGTGTAATACGATGCAGTGCGGTAGAAACGATTGAGACACTTTCGATTGGGACTTGTCCAGCGCGGAATGTATCCTTAGGGTACATTTGATAAGAAACGAGGAATGGAATGACTAAGGGAAAGTTGGGTACAAATGCAAACCCTAGGAAAACTGTACCCCATATGTGCTACCCCACTATAGCCTACAGTAGCTATGTCATATAAATCTGACACACCCCCATAGGCAAAGTGGGGGGGAACAAGGGGTCACAAGACCAGTCAAGCAAAGCAAAACAAGCTCAGGGTGGAGCACAAAGTCACCACACATTCCGAGCACAAGTTCAAGGCCACAAGGCCAGTTCACATGCAGGATTACATATATATATAAGGCTAGACAAGCAAGAGCAGGTGTATATATATATGCAACAGTACAAACAAGGTCAAGGGGTGAGCAAGTGAGGCAAGGTAGGCACAAGACCCAGCTGAGTACAGAAGCGCTGATGATCACAAGGCGCAAGTGCCTTGGTGAAGATATCAGCACTGTTGGCCTCAGAGGCCACGTACGCAAGCCGCAGCTGACCACGCTGCTGTAGCTCACGAGCAAGGAAGTAGCGGAGAGCAATGTGCTTCGTTCTGTGCTCCAGTCTCTGCTCTCGACACAAGGCCAGCATGGCCTTGTTGTCTACGTACAGTACTGGAGGAGAACGAGGCGGCTCTCCGAGGTCAGTCAGCAGGTAGGTGAGCCAGCGAAGCTCCTGTGCAGCCATGGCCCCGGCGTAGATCTCAGCCTCACAACTGGAGCCGAGAACAGAAGACGAGCGGGTAGCCCGCCACGAAACAGAGCCGGAACCAAGGCTGAAGGTGTAACCCTGTGACGACCGCTGCGTAGCCTGGTCGTCAGCCCAAGAAGCGTCTGCGTGCCCAGTGAGGACCACTGGACTCTGCCCTCCAAGCACAAGCCCCATGCCCGACGTACTGCACAAGTAGCGCAACACCCTCTTCGCTGCCGCCATGTGCTCCGGTCTGTGTCTCCCAGGAGCAACATAGCGTGCAAGAATGCTAAGAGGGTATGCAAGGTCAGGTCGTGTGCAGGTCATCAGGTACATGAGGTAGCCAACAAGCTCTGGGTACGGGCCACTCGACTCTACGGACTCATCCGAAGGCAGAGCTGAGAGCGAGTGGCGAGTAGGCAGAGGAGTGGCCTGAGGCGAGGAGTACGTGAAGCCGAAGCGCTGAAGGACCTGCTGCACCATGTGTGACTGAGTCAGGGTAATGGTGCGGCGTGCTCTGTCCCGGGTGATCTGCAAGCCAAGGTAGCTACGCAGTTCACCCAGGTCTGTGCACGTGTGTCTCTTCTGCAGCTCGGACTTCACGTGGGCGAGTCCAGCAGTGTCAGCTGTGGCGAAGACCAAGTCGTCGACGTACACGAGGATGTAGAACGGCGGCAAAGAAGTGTCGGTGCGCAGAAACAGCGACGGGTCGGCAGTAGAGGGAGCAAACCCAAGAGCCGCAAGTGTAGTCCTCAGTGTGTCGTGCCACTCACGCGGTGCCTGGCGGAGACCGTAGACTGGCCGCCGGAGGCTCCACTGGGTGCCAGGAGGAAAGGACCCAGTGAAGCCAGGTGGGCGACGCAGCCAGATCTCCTCGTGCAGGCTGCCCTGCAAGAAAGCAGTGCTGAAGTCAAGAGAGTGCAGCTCGTAGTCGCGATGAGCAGCTATGTGCAGCAGTACCCGAAGAGTGGTCATCTTCGGGGTGGGAGAGAAGGTCTGAAAGTAGTCAACTCCCTGCCGCTGACTGAAGCCACGAGCCACGTAACGCGCCTTGAAGACAGGCGGAGAACCCGGCGGCCGCTTCACCCTGAAAATCCACATGCCACTGACGATGTTCGCCCCAGGCGGGGGAACCTCGTCAACGTAGGTGCCTGTGGATTTCCAGGAAGCCATCTCTGCGTCCATAGCTGCCTGCCACTGAGAGGAGTAGGGACCCTCTATCGCCTCCGCGTAAGAGCGCGGAGTCGGGATGTCAAGTGCATCCGGGTCTCCCTCAGGGGTAAGCAGTACGGACACGAGATGAGGTGAAGCAGCAGCCAAACACTGGAACTCCTCCTGCCTGTCCTCAAGGACGTCCGTGCCAAGGGCACACTCACCCCCGACGGACGGAGGACAGACAGACTCAGACTCAGCAACAAGACTAGCAGCGTAGTCTAGACGACAGCGAGCAGCAAAGTCGACGAGCTCAGTAACTAGGGCAGACGCAGCAGTGGACTCAAAGGAAGGGTCAGTGACAACAGTAGCAAGGAGACGCGTGACAGTAGGACTGGCAGCACGAAGAGAGTCCGACTCCGGGTCGGGAAGAGCAGGAAGAGAGGACTCAGGAGGAGAAGGCAAAGGGGCACGCAGAGGAGCAGTGGACGGACGCAGAGACATCCGGTGCGTGCCAGGGACAGGAGGAGGACGCTGACGCGAACCACGACCACTAGTGCGAGCAGCACGGACAGGCGACACAGGGCGAGACGCAGGCTCACGACGCTCAGCAAGACCTCCAGTAGGACCAGTGTAGGGAGAAGGAGCGGGCAGTGGGGAGGCTGGCTGTAACTGTAACTGTGACGGGACAGGCTGGGGACACTCTAAGGGAGGAGGAGGACCAGTAGAAGGCGGGAGACCAAGAACCTGCTGAAGGAGCGGAACGAAGTACGGCCTAGGCCGCGCGGCGACTCCAGACACAGCAGGGACAGCACCAGTACCCCCAGCGGCAGCACCAGCGCCAGCAGCACCTCCAGCTCCAGTACCTCCAGCAGCACCAGTAGCACCCCCAGCAGGACCGCCTCCAGGACCGACAGCAGTAGCCTCAGCGCCAACACCCTCAGCAGCTCCAGCTCCAGTCGTACCCGCAGGCCCAGCAGCTCCAGTACTCCCAGTACGAGCACCTCCGGGACCCGCGGCACCAGCACCCTCAGCAGCCGACGAACCTCCAGCTCCAGCAGCACGCCTCCAGCGCCGGGCAAACCACTCGCGCAGCTCCTGTGGAGAGAGTGGCTCCCGCCAAGACGAAGCACCCGGAGAACCTCCAGGCTCAGCACCGCCAGACGCCACACGAGCAGGCCCAGCTCCCTCAGGCTCCGCACCCCCAAGCTCAGCACCTCCAGGCGTGGCACCCCCAGGCTCAGCACCCCCAGGCGTAGCACCCCCAGGCTCAGCACCCCCAGGCTCAGTACCCCCAGTAGTAGCACCCCCAGGCTCAGCACCCCCAGGCTCAGGACCCCCAGTAGTAGCACCCTCAGGCTCAGCACCCCCAGGCGTAGCACCCACACGCTCAGCACCCCCAGAGTCAGCACCCCCTGGCTCAGCACCCTCAGCAGCACCAGAGTCACTAGTAACCTCGACAGGCTCGACTGCGTCTACCTGGGACACACCTGAAGGGGCAGGACCCTGAGGGGGGAGGGGGTCTACCGGGGGGGGGACCTGGTACAAGGAAGAGCGGTGGCGGGGGGAGGGACGGAGTGCGGTAGGGGAAGAGGCGGTAGTAGGGGACCGACTCGTCAAACGTGACGTCCTGGGAGGACAGAACACGGCGAGAGGTGGGGTGGTAGAACTGCCACCCTGGCGCGTCAGGGGGGAAGCCAAGGAAGACGCAAGGAGCAGCACGAGGGGACAGCTTGTCCGCAGACAAGTCGCGGACAAACGCCCGAGATCCCCAGACACGGAACGCAGACGCATCGCCAACCTTCCCCGTCCACAGCAAGGCTGGGGAGGTCTCCGGCATGGAGACCCTGGGGTGAAGGTTGATCTGATGCGCCGCGTATCGAACCGCAAACGGCCACAGAAAATGGGGGGCAGCCGCATGCATCATGGACGTACGGGCGACGTCCATGACCATGCCAATGCGGCGCTCAGCAATCCCATTTTGCTGTGGAGAGTCCGGAAGCGTGAAGGTCTGGCGGATGCCTCGTGCACGACAGTAGGCTCGCAGAAGGCCAGAGGAGAACTCTCCACCTCTGTCAGAGTGCAGACGCAGAACAGGAAAGTCCGAGCCGAAGCTCTGCCTGAGCTGGAGACGAGCTGCGCGGATCCAGTCGATCAACACCTCAGTGACATCACCCTTGCTGCGCAAGGGGAAGACAGTGGTGTAGCGCGAGTAGTCGTCAACCACCAGCAGGAAGTAGCGCTCGTGACCCTGTCCACGGACGCGGGCCGGGCCCCACACGTCCATGTGAAGCGTCTGCAGCGGGGCCTCTGTCGGAGGAAACTGGGAGGAGTGAGGGGCAGCCCGCTGCCGCCCCTCGACACAGGGGACGCAGGTAGGGCCAGGCCCCGGAGGAAGGGGAGGGAGGGACCGGGGAAGACCAGAGACAAGGACACGGGAGGCCATGCCTCGGAGACGAAGCAGGGAGGGGTGACCAAGGCGGTGGTGCCAGAGGAGAGTCTCGTGAGACAGGAGGCGACACGAACAGGGGGCAGACTCAGGACCAGACCTGGACGCTGCAGCAAACACCTGACCCGACGCAGCTACCTGACCAGACGCAGTGACTGGAGGAGACGCAGTGGTCAGGGTGTACAGGCTCGACCCCGGCCGACGGGTAAACGTGGCCAGGTGTCGGCCAGTCCGAGCGTCCGTGCAGTGGGTCACCCGCTGACTCGCAGGAGTGAACTGGTGAACCCCCGCATCCTGTAGGTCAGCACCACTCACCAAGTTCGTAGAGAACGAGGGGAGGTAAAGACCAGACAGGGTGCCAGAGGGGGCCGCCGGACACGGGAGGACAGTGGAGAAGTGAGCAAGGACAGGACCCCCAGAGGGGTCTGCCAGAGAGACCGCAACTGGCCGGCCAAGCGGCGTGAGTGTGGTGCGGTCTCGAAAGAAGGAGCGAGAAGCCCCCAAGTCAAGGGTGAAGGTGTGGGAGGCCGAAGCCGACGCAGAACCTGAGAGAGCAGACTCACCAGCACCTGAGGGAGCAGACGCACCTAGAGCAGCAGCCTCGCTAGCACCTAGAGCAGCAGCCTCACCAGTACCTAGAGCAGCAGTCTCAATGCCCGGGTCGGGCGGAAAACACCGGTAACAGTCACCCTCATCACTAATAGTCACAGTATACATGGCAGCAAGAATAGCATCAAAGTCAAGGTCAAAGACAGCGACACCCGCCCTAGACAGCTCACCCTAGCGGGGGATCTCAGTGGCCTCAGGGAACTGGTGACGCCAAGCGTCCGTCAGGCGGCCAAAGCAGCGCTGGGTGGAGTGCGCACCCCCGCACTGGTCACCCGCGCGGTCGCCGGTGCGTAGGACGTAGGTGCACGGACCAGTACCCCCACCCCGCTGGCGTGCAGCGTACCACTCACGGAGCTGCTGAGGAGGGGGGATGTCACGAGTGCGCTGCTGCTGCTGCTGCTGCTGCTGGCGCTGACCACCACCGGAGCCGACCCTCTGCGCAGCGCCACCCCGACCAGCTCCACCTCCTCCGCCGCCGCCTCCTCCACCGCCGCCACCTCCACTCCCACCGCCACCGCCGCCGCCGCCTCCGCCTCCACCGCCGCCACCGACACCTCCACCCCCACCACCACCCCAACCGCCACCCCCACCCCCTCCACTGCCTCCACCGCCGCCTCCACCGCCCCCGCTAGCTCCTCCAGTGCCCCTGCCCCCCTTGCCCTTGCCAGGGCGGCATCTCCCGCTAGGGGTAGACGCCGCACCGACCGACTCAAGCCCAACGAGGTCGGCCGCAGCAGCAGAGGCAACAGAGGGCAAAAGGGGGGAGGGGGAACACCCCTCAAAGATGGGGGTGCGAGGGTCACCACGAGAGGCTCCTACAGCTACTATGCTCTTCTCTGCTGCTAGGAGGGACTTCTCGAGGAGGTCAACGGTGAGAGTGGTGGGGCAAACTGAGAGGAAGTGGTCCCTGACTACGCGAAGGGAGTCAGGGAGCCGGGTGACTATGTAGTAGAGGGTGATGTACATGGGGGGGGGGTTCTTGGCGCAGAACTCAGCAAGAAGCGCAGCGCGGTAGCGAGTGTCACTAGTGCGGAGGTGCGTAATGAGGTCAGCGACTGTGGGAAAGGCAGCAAGGTCAGGGAAGAGGTACGGTAGCATGAGGCGGCTCAGTGCAGCAGTGGCAGGGGAGGAGTAGCGCGCAATTACAGCGTCGTACAAGGTCTGAGCACTCTTGTACTGGCTAAAGTGCGCACGTTCAGAGGTAGGCAGGTGGCGACGCACAGCAAGACGTGCAGCAGCATCGCGCGTGGCCCACTGTGAGCGAACAGTGGCGTCAGCATCAGCAGCGGGGGCAGGAGAGGCACCAGAAGTGAGGTCAAAGAGGGAGAGGCCGTCTGCTCTGTCGCACTGTAAGAAAAGCTGCAGGTCATCTATCCAGACGTCAAAGTCAATGGCCCGACCTTCAGCGTCAAAAGCGAGGACACTAGGGGTAGCCATGACAGCAGTAGACTAGCAGCGCAAACAGTAGGGTGAGGGCAGTGCTGTGAAAGAGGCGCTGCTCTTACCGGACAGGGCGGCTCGGGTGGTTCGGCTGCAGGGCGGCTCGGCGGCTCGGCTGCTGGGCGGCTCGGCGGCTCGGCTGCTGGGCGGCTCGGCGGCTCGGCTGTTGGGCGGCTCGGCGGCTCGGCTTCTGGGCGGCTCGGCTGCTGGGCGGCTCGGCGGCTGGGCGGCTCGGCTGCTGGGCGGCTCGGCTGGGCCGCTGAGAGGGCGGCGTCCGGGGCCGCTGGGAGGAGGCGGCGGGGCCGCTGAGAGGAGGCGGCGGGGCCGCAAAGGTAGGTGGCGGGGCCGCAGGTAGGTGGCGGGGCCGCTAGTAGGTGGCGGGGCCGCAGGTAGGTGGCGGGGCCGCTGGTAGGTGGCGGGGCCGCAGGTAGGTGGCGGGGCCGCAGGTAGGTGGCGGGGCCGCTGGTAGGTGGCGGGGCCGCAGGTAGGTGGCGGGGCCGCAGGTAGGTGGCGGGGCCGCTGGTAGGTGGCGGGGCCGCAGGTAGGTGGCGGGGCCAGCAGGAAGGTGGCAGGGCCGCACAGGTAGGTGGCGGGGCCGCGGGTAGGTGGCGGGGCCGCTGGTAGGTGGCGGGGCCGCACAGGTAGGTGGCGGGGCCGCACAGGTAGGTGGCGGGGCCGCGGAGGGCGTAAGGGGCCGCGCGAGGGGCCGTAAGGGACGGCGCGAGGGGCCGTAAGGGGCGGCACGAGGGGCCGTAAGGACGGCGCGACGGGCGCGACGGGCCGTAAGGGCGGCACGAAGGGCCGTAAGGGCGGCGCGAAGGGCCGTAGGGGCGGCGCGACGAGCCGTGAGAGGGCCGCTAAGGGCGACGCGACGGGGCCGTGAGGGGCCTAGCGAGGGCGCGACGGTAGGGAGAGCACACCGGGCGCGACTCGGGCCGGAGCGAAGCGCGCTCCGGGCAGGAAAAAAATTTCGTGGTGGTGGGCCCTAGGAATCGTTCCCACTAGGGAACCTGCTCGATACCATGATAAGAAACGAGGAATGGAATGACTAAGGGAAAGTTGGGTACAAATGCAAACCCTAGGAAAACTGTACCCCATATGTGCTACCCCACTATAGCCTACAGTAGCTATGTCATATAAATCTGACAACATTCCGCTGTGGACCATGTCCCAATCGATGTGTCCGAATCGATTGTGACGCGTACGTACAACATATGCTGCCAGGTGTCAGAATGCCGGGCCGCCCGTGGTTGTCGCCAAATGTATTTATCATTGGGTGACGTGAAACACGGAGCCGCCGCCAGCAAATTGCAACACAACCCATCAGTCGCACGCGGTGCCAAATGTCAACACATGCAGCATGTATCTAGACGACTTCTCCCCAAGCCCACTATCCCCATCAACGCGTACGCTGCGTCGTGATTGGTCCAGGCGCAACACCCGGAATTATTGACAGGGACGCGCACGTCCCCGCCAGCGCGCCTTCCCCCAGTTCCAATGCTCCTTCCCCACAACTCCACCACCTCCCAACACCTTACGGGTTCTTCTTCTTGCACCATCCTTCCTGTTCCAATCTGTTTATTTCTCTCTTCTCCCGCTTCCTACAGATCTAGATCTAGAAGCACTCAGCGCGCCAGCATGGCTCGTAAGCGTAAGGGGCAGGCCCTTAACGACTGCTCCAAGGATCTTAACGACATTCCGTACATCCGTACACTCGCTCTGTGACGGCGGTTCTCCCCGCTGTCGTCACTGAATGATGAGGACTGCTCGTCCTCGTCCTCAAACACACCGGACTCAATGAGGCCTACGAAGGACTTGGCGACATTTTCGTGGAAAATGGTGTAGTAGTAGGTGATCCAGGCGACGAGGAGGTGTAGGATGAAGGGGATGGCTCTAGGCTCTGCCATCATCCGAAGGGATTATGCGTGTGTAGTAATGGTGTCTGTGCTATGCTTGATTATAAAATCATAGCAGTCGAGAAGGGGAGTTGCATATGTACGTGTTGTTGCCGCAATTATTGACACTGCGGATGAGTACTGTACCCTCCGCGGCCTCCATGAACATCACCGAGGATCTTCCGCGGACCTGGAGGTGTTGGTGTATGTGCTGCGCAAGGACGAGTGGGCATGTTTATTCTCTGACCAATCACAGACGTTCGCACATAATTGTCGCGCGTCTATACAGAGTCGCAATACATCGATCGATTGGGACATGCAAACTCGAGACATTTGAGCGCGACTCGGGCAAATCGTGATTGGGACACATCCGTTGGGACATGGTCCACAGCGGAATGTACCCTTAGGATTTGTCTGAAAAGCTAGACAATGTTATATCTTTCGTTTCACAATCAGACAAAGAGCCAGGACCCGGTCTTAAAGCCAGACGGGTAATTTTACTAAAGTTAGCCCTGCCCTGCACCCCACCCAAGTAGACGCGCCCAACTGTACATGTAGCTTGGTCAACAATTCATTCACACTTCAAGACGCAAAGTTGACTAAACATTTAGACGCGACTCGAGAAAAAACGGACATTGAGACACAAGTGTCGATACAAGAATGTACCCTCAGCCGGTAGTCAAATCCTAGCAAATGACCCTCAAACTGAACCGAACCCGATTCAAAGTGTGGTTTTTTTTTTTTTTCGGTACGTCGGCCCCGATAGGAAGGAACTCTCAAAATGGTCGACTAATTGTTGGAGATGTTTCCACAAAGAGAGAGTCTGTCAAATGGCAAAAGTACTTGTAAATCACGTTCCACAGCTGCTCCTCCTCTATAGGCTTTGACAAGAAGCCGTTCATGCCGGACTCGATGCACTTCTCCCGAGTCCCTGCAAAGATGTCCGCTGTAAGTGCAAATATCGGAGTCTGTGAGAGCCTGTACTTCGCTTCTTGCCTGCGGATTTGCCGTGTGGCTTCGAATCCGTCCATACCTGGCATCTGGACACAGTGAGGGCAGAAAGAAACGTGGATTTGTGAGGTGGGGGGGGACAAGCATACAGTAGCTAGCAGTAAAGTGCTGCCCAAGCTCCAGCCCCAGCGGTGCAGCGGGCATGCAGAGGGGGCGGAGAGCTGACCTGGACGTCCATGAGGATGCAGTGGAAGGCGTGGCCAGGCACCACCTTGGCCACGGCCACAGCACCCCCCACGACAGGCACCACGTGCACCTTGTATCGCTCCAGCATCTTGGCTATCACCTTGCGGTTCACCATGTTGTCGTCCACCTGCACACCCACACCACACCACACCACACCACACTACACCACACCAAACCACACCACACCACACCACACCACACCACACCACATTACACATACAAACGGGGCAGTAGCGCACTCAACTCAGTGCCACTGGTGCTTAGGCCTTACATGTCCAAGCAGCTGCAATGAGTTTAACAGAAACTCACCACCAGAAAGTGCTTGCCATGCAGCACTGCAGTGAGCATCTGAGTCAGCGACTGTGGGGCACCCTCAGCCACCCTCCTCGCCCCGGGACTCGCCAACGCCGCACTGCTGCCACCCCCGCCCTTCCACCGCCACTCTCCTCTCACCACCACTCCTCTCTCCTGCCTCCACTTGCTTCAGACGCATTTCCTTGTTTCCACTCCTTCCCGTGAGCGTGACAGGGGAAAGCGCCATGTCTGACTCCACAGATTCTCCTCCATCCAATCTCTCTGCTTCGCCTGCACCTGCCCCACAGGCATCCTCTGCCCCGTTATCCACCACAACCACGTAATCGTGCTCCCCACCCGTCACGCCCCTAAAATTCTCGGGACTTGACACTTCTGTCCCTCTCCTTCCTTCAGATCCTCCTTCCCCTCGCCTACCCAAGGTGCCCTGCCCGCCCTCTGCACCCTGTGTGCTGCTGCTGCTGCCCCCCCTGCTGCTGTGCTTGGCGGCCTGCAGCAGCGCGCCCACGAGGGCGGCGCGGCGGATGGGTTTGAGCAGCGTGGCGTGGAAGCCCGCCTGGGCGGCCACGCTCTCCATGCTTGGCTCGCGCACCAGCAGCACCATGCGCCATGCACCCATGCCCATGCCCATGCCATTGCCCATGGCCATACCCATACCCGTACTCAACTTCAACCCCGTGCTCGTGTCCGCATCCGTGCCTGTGCCTGTGCCTGTGCCTGTGCCTGTGCCTGTGCCTGTGCCTGTGCCTGTGCCTGTGCCTGTGCCTGTGCCTGTGCCTGTGCCTGTGCCTGTGCCTGTGCCTGTGCCTGTGCCCCTGGAGGCTGCACTGGCTGGGGCACTACTTCCACCACCCCCCGCTGCATCACGATGCTCCTCATCAGCCCTCTCACTCCCTCTACTTTCCTGCTGCAACGGCGGCACAGGAAGTGAATGCTTCACATGTTGCTGCTGCTGCTCTTGCTCCTGCTCCTGCTGGTCCTGCTGCTGTGACTGCCACTGTGAACTCAGTAGCTTCTTCTCATGTGCTTCTTGCTGCTGTTGCATCTGTTCCCCCAATCGCTGTTGCTGCTGTGGCCGCTCCCCCACTCCTTGCTCTTGTTGCTGCTGTTCCTCCACTCCTCCCGGCTGTTGCTGCTGTCGGCTGGTCCAGAAGGCAGCAGCAGTGGCCATGGCAGCAGCGCTCGTCAGCACGCCGCTGCCTCCCCCGCCCCCACCTCCCATGGCGTCACTGCCAGCGCCACTGCTGCCGTCGGGGCTCTCCACGCTGCCAGCAGGGGTGGGGGGGGTGGCAGAAGCGAGTGTGCCGAGAGGGGGTGAGGCAGCCCCGTCAGAGGCTGCCCGGGGGGCGCACAACTGTTGGGACGCGTCCCCTGCCCTCCACAGCGAGGAGGGGAGGACGGCTGTCCTCTCGCCGCCTGCGCGCACAATGGGCACTGCGCACTCCCCTCCACCTGCCCCATCACGCCCCACACCTGCCCCTGCCTCTGCCTCTGCCTCCGCCCCTGCAACATCACCCCCCGCCCCGCCACCATCCCTGCCCGTGCCCAAGCCTGCCATTCCCACCCCAGGCTCGCCTCCCTCGCCCCGCCCTCCCTCATGCATGCGTGCAGGTGGCGTGGGCAGTGAGTGGCGCCAGGCGCGGGCATGGCGGGCGAGCGTCTCCGCGTCCACCAGCAGGAACGCACCGCCCGATGGAGTGCCCGCTGGGGGCCCTGACCCGCCGCCACCCGCACTGCCTGCTGCTGTGCTGGCTGCGCCTGCCATGACTCCCACGGCAACAGATGGCCCGGCAACAGATGGCCCGGCATCAGAGAGGGGCGTGACACCACTCTCATGCCCCGCCAGCGATGCTGCTGCCACGCTGCCTGCTGCCACACCTGGCAGTGCAGGGGACACCACGCCCACCACTGCCAGTGGGCCCGGGGAGGATGGGTAAGCTTGGGGGGGAGTGGCAGGAGCAGGCGGGGCAGGAGGGGAGGGTGGTAGTGGCAGGGCGGGGAGTGGGGGGAGGTCCTCCCAGCGGCGAGCGAGGAGCACGTTGAGCCTGAGGCGGCGCAGATACGTGGCTGTGACGGCGCGCCTCACAGGCCGGTCGTCCAGCACCACCGCTGTGCACCCCTGTGCAGCCGGTGAGCAGGGGCAGGGCATGCATGGAGGGACAGTGAATGCATACAGTGAAGGCACGAGACACAGTGAATGCATGGAGACACGGTACTTGCACTCGCTGCGAGGCAGACTGTCACTCCTGTGACTAGTGCCACTGAAATGGGCTGCCAACACTGAATAAGGTCCTCACGCCGACACAAGAGGCAGCCTCGCACGCACCTGAAGGTCAGAGACTCGAGAGGCAAGTGCGGGGGCACTTCTCCTCTTGCCGGCGGCAGCAGGAAGCAGCAGAGGCGGGGGCGTCATGGGAGGGGTCCGGGGGGTTGTCAAAGGGCAGCGTCATGTCAAAGAAGAAGGTCGTGCCCACGCCCGGGCGGCTCACAAACGCCAGCTTGCCGCCCATCAGCGCCACCAGGTGCTGCGAGATGGACAGGCCGATGCCAGTGCCGCCGTGTGTGCGCGTGGTGCTGATGTCCGCCTGCACGTACGGCCGAAACAGACGAGGCTGCGCCGCCCACGGTATGCCCTGCCCCGTGTCCTGCCAGCATGCAGTGGGGGTGGTGAGAGCGGAGGGAATCACAGTAGCTTCAGTCAGAGTGCCTTGGTCAGAGCATATTCACCGCATGCCAGTGTCTGTGAAACGAGGCATATATCACTTCATATCACAGCATACCACTGACTCCATTGCACCACGAACCACCGATTGACTCCTTGGCACAGGACACCACCGGTTCATGTCCCTACCAGCAGCGCACTGCTCACCTCAACGGACACCACCAGCCGCACCATCCCACTCTGTGCTTCACCTCCCCCGTGCTCCCCCGCCCTGCCCGCAGCCCCACCACTGCTGTGCGGCGCTGCAGGCGTGCACTGCAGGTGGCCCGGAGGCGGGCCTGCCTGGGGGGGGGCGCTCCATGAGAGCCTGGATGCGCGCCCAGCTGTTGCAGCTCTCCACCGCCTCCACTCCACTCAGCGTCTCAAACTCCCCCTGCCTACCCCTCCGCCCCTGCCCCTGCCCCTGCCCCTGCCCCATCTCTTTGTTCTGCAGCTGCCCCGTTTGCCCCTGCCCCTGCCCATCACTGCCCATCTGACCCTCCGCCTCGACTCGAGCCTGCGTGACGGCGCCGGAGGAGCCCCCATCAACCATCTCCCCTGCGCCCGCCTCACCAGTACACTCCTCCTTTTCCCCGTGTACCTCTCCCTCCCATGCATCTGAGTCACCTCCATGCAACCTGCGGGTTTCCTCTCCGCCCTCCCCACTCCTGCCATTTGCCAGTTCTGTTGTTCCAGGCGCTGCAACCCCTCGCTGTCCCAGCACGCGCACTCACTTCTCCCCGTGCACCATCTGCATGCGCCACGCCGGTCTTGCCAGCACCACCACCACCAGCAGCGGCAGACGCAAACATATCTGCACTTGCGGCAGCACCTCCAGCGGGGGCAGGGGTGGAGCTCCACCCGCCTCCTGCTGCACCCGCACCATCAGCACTGGGCGTGTTAGTGACTGCAGCAGCGCTGGTGCTGGGAGCAGCGCGGTCGGAGTGGGCAAGGGAGGTGCGGGCGAGGGAGCGGGCGTCGGCAAAGTGGGCGCCGGGGACGGCGAGGTCGTCATGGGGGGCGGCGGTGCGCACGGTGATGAGCACGTGGCCGCGGGGCGGTGAACTTGCAGCTGTTGGACAGCAGGTTGATCAGCACCTGCCGCAGCCGCAGCGCATCGCCCAGCACAAACGTGGGCACCCGCGTCGTGCACGAGTGCCGCCACCTCGACCTGCGGCTTGTTGCGCGTGCGCTCCACAAACATGCTCAGCACGTCGTCTATCTCCGCCCTCACGTCCACCCTCATGCTCTCCAGCTCCATCCGCCCCGCCTGCCCTCGCCCCCGCGTGCACGCACCCAACACACACACCCATGGAGGGAGGGGAGGGGGAGGAGAAGGGGCATTATAATGCAGGAAGGAACCACTGGAGCAGGAATTGAATGGAGAGAGGAGAGCGACTCGATCTTGATGGATGAATATGGGCACTCGGTGGTGATGCCAGGCTGTGCTGTGTGCAGGCAATACACAGTGAAGCATTGGAAGTGAGGAGCAGAGTGAAGGGGTGCAGTGCGGTGCGGTGCACATAGGTGTGGAGAGCAGGGGGCGTGTGGTGTGGGTGTGGAGCACGGGAGTGCGGGGCCAGCGCACCTCGATCTTGGAGAGGTCGAGGATGTCGTTGATGAGGGAGCAGAGCGCCCTGCCGCTGGTGCGCGACGTCTCCACGTAGTCCAGCTGCACCGCGTCCAAGGGCGTCTGCAGCAGCAGGTTCAGCATGCCTGCACGCCATGCTCAGGGGGGGAAAGGGGAGGGGGAGGGGAAGGGAAGGGAAGGTGGGGAAGGGAAAGAACGGAAGCATCAAGGAACCATCATTTGACTACACATCAGAGGTTGCAAACATGCAGCCATGCGTGCATGCATGCAGTGACCCATGGATTTTCGGGTTAAGGGGTTGCACAATTCAGTGACCCAAATGTGCGCATGGGCAAAGCACGGCATAGCACAGAACAGCGCAGCAGAGCAGAGCAGCGGACAGCAGAGCAGAGCAGAGCAGAGAGCACGCACCGATGACGCAGTTCATGGGAGTGCGGATCTCGTGGCTCATGGTGGCGAGGAATGTGCCCTTGGCGCGGCTGGCGGCCTCAGCAGCGACCTTGGCGGCGCGCATCTGCTCCTTGAGCGCCGCCATGCGCTGCAGGTCGCCCTCCACGCGCACCACCTCCCCCGCCACCACATACACCACCGCCACCACCAGCGCCGCCCCCGCCACCGCCACACACGGCCACACCACCGCCATGTACGGGAACGGCCGTGACTGGTACCTGCAACCACGAGCACGCACGGGACGGGATACAGACCATGGGGCAAGGTGCAGGGCGCAGGGACGAGGGGCAGAACGAATATGAAAAACAGGAGGGGGGGTAGGAAGGAAGAGAAAGAGAGGAAGGAAGTGGTAAGGAGCGGAGAGCGGAGAAAGGCAGAGCAGGGCGGCGGGCGGTGTTACCTGCAGGCGAGGGTGTACTGGCGGCCCACTGCCGGCAGAGGCACGGCGTGCGCTGCAGGGAAGGACGAGGGCGCCTCAGGCATGGCGGGGGGCTGCAGCGGGGGATACTGTGCGAGGACGAGCGTGGTGGTGGCGGCCGTGGTGTCCTGCAGCTGCAGCAGCAGCGCCGCTGACCCACAGCTGCTGCTGCTGCTGGACGGCGCCTGCAAGGGAGGAGGGTGAGAGGGGGCGAGGGAGGTGGAGAGGAGCAGGAGCAGGAGCAGGAGCAGGAGGGGGGCAGCACATGGATGATGGTGTGAGGGATGGAAGTGCAACTTGGGCAGCTCGGTTGAAACTGTCATGTTGAGACAAGAGGAGCGGTGGGAGCACGGGTGAGAGGAGGCATGGCATGAGGCGGGGAAGGAAGTACCTGAGACAGCTGTGAGAGGGCGAGCTGCATGTCAGCCACTGCAAACGCGAATCCTACCACTGCTGCTTGCATCTCGTCTGACGTGGCGTTGGGCGGCATGGCTCGTCCATACACGGGCACTGATGCCACCACTGCTCTCTGCTGCTGCTCCGCAGGCGACTGAGCTGCTGCTGCTGCTGCTGCTGCTGTTGCTGCCAAAGATGTATTAGCAGGAAACGACCTCGGTTGGTCGCTGCTGCTGGTCGATGAGGAGGAGGTGATGGTGGTGGGTGTGGGGGCAGAGGTGGGCGCGGAGGAGGAGTTGTCAGGGAAGGGGAAGCGAGGGGCGAAGGGTGGGGAGAGGGTGCAGGGCAGGCGGGCAGAGAGGGCGGAGAGCGCCGAGAGGGCAACCGCGGGACCCAGCTGGGGGACTGTGCGGGAGAGGAGGGAGGGGGATTGGGCATTCACAGGTGGAGGGTAACAGGCAGGAAAATGGCTCGTGGCGTGCAGGGCTTGCGCTTGAAAAGGTGTGGGATGCTGGTACTGACTAATGGGAGGCATTGCTTTGAATGAAGCTCGTAGCGAGTCGTGTGTGTGCTGTGGCATGGGTGGCTGGCAGGCAATGGAACAGGCAATACTAGGTTCAAAACTATGAGATGTGGTAGCTTCTGAATATAGTAGCAACAGACGCCCCCACTTCCCCACCCACCCTTTCCCCCCTCTTCACCACACACACCAGAAAGCATGTCCAGTCCAACATAAGCCGCCCCCACGCCACTTGTGCTGCTGTTGGCGGTGGCGAGGTGGGAGAGGATGGTGGCGAGGGTGGGCGAGTAGTGGAGCAGTGGCAGGTAGTGCTGCTGCTGAGGCACGCACTCTCCACTCACATTCCTGAACGCGTACATGCATGCAGGGAGGACAACAACAGAGTGCAGAGGGGAGACGGGGGGTGAGCATCGGGCGGAGGGCGAGTATGGGGCGGAGGGTGGGGAGTGGTGTGCACGTGGATGGTTGGGCAGCACGGAGCTACTGAGGAGAGGCGACAAGGCGAGGAGGGAGAGAATGTGAGGGGAGGAGAGAATGTGAGGGGAGGAGAGAATGTGAGGGGAGGAGAGAATGTGAGGGGAGGAGAGAATGTGAAGAGAAGAGAGAATGCGAAAGGGGGAGAGACTGAGGGGGGAGGGGAATGTGACTTGAGGGAGGAGAGAATGTGAGGGGTGGTGACTGTAAGGGTTACATTACATGATGCGGCACGAGGGGACAAGCATGGTGTTGGGCATGAGAGGGGGCCGTGCACGCACGCACCAGATACAGGTGGCGTTGAGAAAGCGGTTCTGGAGGGCGGCGCGCGAGGAGTGGTTGAGCGAGAGCGCGTACCCCATGGCGCTCGCCCCCTGCCCCCACCCACTCGCCCCCGCCTCTGCTGCAGTGGCGAGAGGGGGCGGGGGGGGGAAGGCGAGCAGCGGGCCGCGTGTAGTCGGTGGAGGCCACCAGGCGCGTGAACGCCGCCTGCTCCGCTCCCCGCACCCGGGGGCCAGCAGGGGGGGAGAGTGGTCGCGCCGATGAGCAATCAGCAACGAACAACGAGCAACCAGGCAATTGAGCAACGAGCAATCTAGGTAAGAGACGCTGCCACACTAGCTGCTGCAACAACAAGAGATGGGAGCCTCTCCATGTAACGAGGAGCTCCAAGTCCAATGCAGTGGCACCACGTGGCGCCAGGCGTACCTACCTGGTCCACGGCTGCGTGCAGCACTGTGAGCGTGTCCCCCAGCGCGCGCACCCCTCCTAGCGATGATTGCAGTGCACTGCCCAACTCGTGCGCCCACAGCGCACACTGCGATGACAGCGACTCCTGCACGGCGTGCAGTGCAATGCACGTGCAATGGACACCGCATCACACACAGCACATCACACACAGCAATACCGCATCACACAAAGCGTTAGGATTATGCAACAGAGACACACGGCACATGGCAATGCAATCCACAGTGTCACGATACACTGCTCTCAGCATCGTCCAACCCCCTTCTCCCAACCACCCTCTGCCCCAACCCTGTTGCCCAGCCCCCCCTTCAACGGAGCCCTTGTGCGTGCGAGGCGCCACGCGCGCGGCACCTGGTAGGAGGCGAGGTGGAGGAAGTACACCAGGCAGAACAGCCCCGCCGCCACCGCCGCGCAAAGCGCCGAAGCGCACACCAGCACCGCGCGCCGCCGAGCCACCAGAAACGCCAGCGTCGGCGCCACAAATGGACACGCGCTCCGCGACGCCTGCTCGCCCTCTTTGTCGGCTCCCCCCAACCCCGCGCCTCCGCTCCCCCCATCCACTGCTCCGCTGCCACCGCCTCCGCTGGCCGTCCGCGGCACCAGCGGGGCTTCCGCCATGCTGCCCGGCGGTCGCTTGGGCTCGGGGGAGCGGCGGAGCGCCGAGAGCTTCACATAGTGGCGCCTCTTAAAGCCCGTGGCCTTGACACGAAGCGGTTCCGTCTCGGTATCCATGGACTCTCGTCACGCTGTCACTTCCCATCGACTTCCGTCACGCATCGGCTATGGACATCCGTCGCGCATCGGCTATGGACATCCGTCGCGCATCGGCTATGGACATCCGTCGCGCATCGGCTATGGACATCCGTCCAGGTCCGCACAACGCAGACCCGGACACGCCCAGGCCTTTACGCACGTTTGCCGCTGCCCGGCGCGCGACGAGAGAGGCAAATAGAGAGCAAGGCGGGAAAGAGAAAGAGGAGAGAAGGTAGAGGAAGTCGTAGGGGTTGAGGCCGGGGGGGTGGGAGGAGAGTGCGCAAGCAGCATCGAACGGAAGCGAGCGCCGTGGAAGGGACGCGGCGGAATGGAGGACAGGCTGAGTTGCTGTTGTGGTGGTCTGGAACCATGTATCGTGGCGCTGAGCTTGGTGTTGTCGCCTTTGTCAGCATCAACAGCTGGTGGAAACGGTGTAAGCAACTTGAATCACGAATAGGCTCCCATCCGAACCTTTCCAGAAATGCACCACACGCTATCCCTTCGTACCGAACTTTCCACCGAGGGCGGTTGGAACCAATGGGGCAGGAAGGAGAGGGGGCGGGGAGGAGGGGATATGTGAATCGCGGTTCAACGCCCCGCAGCGAAAAGTATCTCACCATCAACGCGTCACTTGTGGCCACGTGATTCCGATCGCAACCCTCGGGTCACACGGTGGACGCTCACCGTCGTCCGATTCAATCACGATTTGGAGGGATGGGATTTGCCCGGCTAAAGCGGTTGAGTACGATGCTGTTGCACTCAAGAGCGGTTTCTCGCGCCAGCACGAATATTCACACAGTATGTGACACGCATCACCCAATCCAATCCGTGCACCTCCAAACCAAACCGAAATGCATGCAACAGGCAGACAGCAAAGCAGCCCAGCCCGCCTGAACCGCAGCGGTCGTCAGAGTCATAGCCCTAGTTTTCCTGCCTGCACGATTACGAGTCACCGTCGCACCTCTTTCCACATCCTCGCCACCCACCCCATGGCGCGCACCTCGTTCCACTCGTCTCGTTCGCTCCTCTCCTCGCGTGCGCCGTACAGTCGCGCGGATGGCTGCGGCATCCGCCGTGCTGCTGTGTGAGGTACCGCTGAGCACCGTCAGCGCGCCGGGCAGCGCGGAGACAGAGCGCGCCGAGCTCCGCGACCTCATGTCGTCGCCCGCTCGCCCACCGTTCGACTCCTCTCCGCGTGTCGGCGCGGACAATCCGCCTGCATTGCGCGTGCCGTGCGCGCAGGAGCGGCAGGAGGCGCAGGAGCGTCTGGAGGCGTTGTGGCAGGAGGTAGAGGAGAGCGACAGCACGCGCAGCCTGCGGTCGCCCAGCGATGCGTCGCCCGCTGCGACCTCGTCGCCCCGCCGCCATGCCAGCGGTAGCTTCACCAATCGACGCGTTCGCTCGCTGTGGTCGGCGGGGTCGCCGCTCTCGTCGCCGCAGCACACGCGCAGCGCGCGTCCACAACGCGCCAGTGGTCGGCTGCGGCCGTGCCCTTCTCCTTCTCCTTCTCACCGCTCCACCCCTCCGCGCTCCCTGCGGACGCCCAGTCGTCGCCGCGGCATCCGCTCACCCCCACGGCGGACGGCAAGGCGCAGGCGCACGGGGACGGGGAGGAACGAGGGGAAGCGGAGCGAGTGGCGGGGCATAAGCCGTCCAAGTCGGCGGGGTCGCTGCCGTTCCTCCAGTTGGGGCAATGGTCGCGCTCCTCCCCAACCTCCGCTCCCCCATCAGCCCCCCCGCCGCTCCCACCTCCCCGTCGGATACCGCCTGGTCGCTTCCCGGCTTCGCCAAGTCGGTAACCCTTCGCTCTTCGCCCAGGTCCTCCACTTCGCCCAGAGCCGCCACTTCGCCCAGAGCCGCCGCAGCGTCGGTGGCGCGCGCTGTATCGGCGACGAGCGCCGAGGCGCCGGGTATTCTGGAGAGCCGCACCTTCGACCCAATCGCGTCGCCCCCTCGCCGCCGCCCCGCCAGCGTCGCTCTCCGACGCGCGCAGGTCAGCGGAAGCGGAGGTTGTGGGTGGCGGTAGGAGCAGCCCGTTGCGGGGCGGCGGATGGCGCAAGACCGCGGTGGGCGGCTGGCGCAGCGAGGGCGGAAGAGAGCCGACAGTGACCGCTGAGATGGGGGAGGGCGCGGGGGAGAGGGCGAGTGGCAGGGGAGGAGGACAAGGGGTGGGCGTCCGGCAGTGGGCGGGAGCAGCAGATGGCGCGCCAAGGCAGCCCTGCCGCAGCTGAACGTGCGCCGCAACTCCGTGGACAGCCCGCAGCCCACCCCGCAACCCAGCCCGCAGCCCAGCCCGCAGCAGAGCGCACAGCAGCAGGCGCTCAAAGTGCTGCACCAGCGATGCCCGCCCCTGTCGCCCTCCACCTCCCCACTCGCCTCCCCCATACCCTCCCCGACCGCCTCTTCTACCGACCCCCGCAGCAACAAGCATCCGCCAAGTCGCTCACTGAGGTCGCCGCGCTCCCCCTGTGCCGCAGCAGCAGCAGCCGCGTCGCCGCGGTCGCAGGTGGTGGTGGTGCGGAGCTTTGTGGAGCACCGCAGGCGAGTGGCGGAGGCGGAACAGAGAGAGGCGGCGGAGCTGGGGGAGGTGGCGGCGGCAGGGCGCGCGGACCCGGGGAACGGGGGGCAGGAGGGCAGGCGGGGAGGCGTGAGTTGGAATGGGGCAGTGCAGAGCTTGGACGCGGCGGTAGCAGCAGGGGGTGCAGTGGGGGAGGCAGAAAGGGGTTCAGGGATCCAGCAGGGGAGCGGCAGGGTCGCGGAAAGGTTGGCGCCTGCCATGGCGGGCACAGAGGGCGTGCAGTTCGGGGAAGAGCGGATGGACGCGGGCATGACACAGGCAGGCATCGTGGGCGATCCACAGTGCAGGGGCGGAGGGCACATGCCGGTGTGGTGAGGGCGAGCAGGTGCGCGTTGCAGGCGACGGTGGGAGGTGGCAGTCCGCCAGCGAGCAGTGCGGGTGGGGAGAGGGGCAGGTGGGCACGGGGAGCGAGGCAGGGAGGAGGAGCAGGTCAGAGCGGTTTTAAGTGCGAGGCAGCAGCAGCGAGCGCAGTGGCTGCAGCAGCAGGAGTGGCAAGAGCAGGAGGGGAGGCAGCGAAGCAGATCCAAGGAAGGTGCCACGGTGCAGTGGGCGCCCCTCCCCACCACCACCCACCTCCCCCCCCGTTCCCCGCCAAGCTTCCGCCCCTCCCCGCCCCGTGCTTCCCCTCCATTCCGATGGGGCCCTCTTCCCCCACCGCCCTCTCACGGCAACGCCCTGCCCTGCGCCCAGAGACCTCTACCCTGCATCCCAGCAGGCGTGGCTCACAGCGGATGCTGGGCACGGCAGGGCACAGGCAGGAGGAGGAGGCGAGGCAGGAGAGGCGGGGCGAGTGGGGCCATGCTTATGATGCACGCGGCGCGCACGCCATGTCTGCCAGCTTCCACAGCCGCTCCTCTCCGCCGTCCAAGCCACCTCAAAGCCCCCGACCTGCTCTGAGCCCCAAGCCACGCTCACACGCACCGCGCAGCTCTGTGAGCCTTGGCAGCCTTGGGTCCCCTCGGGCAGTGCCCCGCCCCACAGCCTTGACCCTGCCCATCGCCCTGCTGCCAGCCCCTCCCACCCCCTCCGCTCCAACCCCGTGGTCCCTCCACTCTCTCTCGCCCCGCCCCTCGCCCCTTGCCACTCGCATCACAGCCCCCTCAACAGCCCCCTGGGCAGTCCTTTGAGCAGCCCGCGCGGTGCTGTGAGTCGCAGCAACTCAGCACGCACCCGACCGACCCTGCCAAGTCCCCACTCCCAGCTGTCACCCGCGTAGCAACCACATGCCGCCCGCCCGCTGTGTTCTCTTCCCTATTGGGAACTGTGAGCCGCAGCAGACAGCGCGTGGCAGTGAGGGCGTGGCACCCGCTGCTGCCAGTGGGCAGCAGCCACGGCACGGCATGCAAGCCCTCGGGCGCCCAGCAGCCCTGCTCCCTCTCCCAGCCCACGCGCACAGGGCAGGCATGTGAAGAGTGGCAGCATAGACAGCATGAGCGCAGCACTGAGTGCCCCCAGCAGCCCACTTGGCAGCCGAGCACCTGATGCCTCGGCCTTGCGAGCACAGGGAGGCCCAGGGAGCAGGGTACTCGCCCCGGGGCAATCATCGTCGCGCTCTCCCAGGCACTTCAGCAGCTGCCATGCTGCCGTTGGCCCTACCACGGGAGGCAGAGCTGGGGTTGGGCAGAGTGGCAGTGGGGCAAGAAGTGGTGCGATGGTTGGGGCAGCGGATGATGGCAGCGGTGGTGGTGGGCAGCAGGCTGGGGGGCGTCATGGTGGGAGTGGGGCAGTGGAGCGGAGTGTGAGCGAGCAGCACCACAGCCACCACATGCACCCTATTGCAACCACCCTGTCGCTCAGTCTGACGTGCCTCAGGCCATAAAGAGGCGCCACACGTATGCTTCCACCCCCACCCTTGCCATCCCTCTGCCCCTGCCCCAGCTTGGCCCTAACGGCTGCCCTCCCCCTCTTAGCCCCACGCTGAGCAGGGCAGCAGGCAGCAGCAAGGGCAGCAGGAAAGGGGACAGGAGGCAGGGGAGGCAGAGGGGAACTGGTGTGGGCAAAAGAGGAGGGGCGTTGTTGACGACGTTACGGCTGCTGCAGCTGCTGTTGCTGTTCCCAGTGAAGAGCAGAGGGTGGAAGGGGACAGCGGATGCCAGGCGCAGGTGAGAGCAGGGGTCTGGTGCTTGCCATTCGCTTTGCCTTGTCGCCATCGCATTTGCTACTGTCATCTCTCTGCCTCCATTGATACCGTCGGGTATGCTTGGTGCAAGGATGGTCATCACTGAGTCTTGACTCTCCTCGTGTGTGTGTGTGTGAGCAGGTTTCGAAGAGAGCTGTCCTTAAGTGGGTACTTGAGCAGCGGGTAGGCTTGAGGTGCGCCAAGGCATGTCAAGGCACGCACCCACTAGGATTTGCTCGTGGTAGGCTGCTCTGGGGGCTGCCAGGCACAGCATGACTTGTTAGTTAGCACCATCTCGTAGTGACGAGGCCGCACTGGGCAAAGTGAAGTGAAGTGATGCATTTATAGTATCACTTATAGTGTGTGTTGCCATGCCATTCAGCAAGGGCTGCTGCAAGGGACATGTGAAGGGTTAGCTAGCTCACATCTTGTTTCAACATCCCAGAGACCCAGAGATTGCATTTCTCCTCGTTCCGTCACACCTGCAGTGAATTGCAACGGATGCCATTACATTGCGCTGATTCATTCTGAAGCTCCTGATGGAGCGTGCACATGCAAGGAGCTGCATACACAAGTTCCAACACATGTGAATGCATTGTATTAAATGCTGCTGCCAGTTGCGTTTGACTCACGCCGATGATGCCAGGAGCAAACACGCGTGGCACTAGTGGTGTGGGGTTGGCTGTCTGAGCAGCCCCAGTTCATTGCCTATGAGTCGGAATATGATGGCACACAGGTTGGACAAATCCGCATCTCTGCAACGGCCATACAGGGGGGCATGGGAAACGTGACAGGGGGGGTACAATAGTCAAAAGGGAACATGGGAGCATGGAATGGGTATGGGAGCATGGAAATGCGTAGGAAAACAATCGGGAAATTGTTTGGGAGCATGAGGAAAGGGTTTGGGTAAGATGGAGAGGGGAGTGAGGTGGTGGAGCACAGGTGAGGCAGAAAAGCAGCATGGAGCAAAAGCACAGGAGATACTGCTACAGCTGCTACTTATACACAAACAAAGAGGGGTTCTGTGAGGTTTTCGAGTTTAAGGGGGGGGGAGGGGGACGGGGGACGGGAGAAGTGTGGAAAGTGTACCGGAGGAAGACGAGGTCGCAGAGGGGCGAGTAGAGCAGCAGCAGGTGCGCTCGCTGCCACCCCAGCTGCCGCCCCTCGCTGTCCTCAAACCGCCGCGCTGCGCTGTCCCGCTCCCACGGCCCGCTCCAGCTCACCCCTGGTGAGCGTGTCCCCCGCTGCTGCTGCCTGCGCCGTGACGTGCGCCTCTGCACTGGCCTTGGGCGCGATGGGCACGTCCACTGCAGCAGCGACGAGGGGGTGCAGCACGAGGCGCACCAGCTCCTGCAGCAGCAGCAGCATCTCCGCACAGCCGCACTGCCGGCATGGCTGCTGAGCCTGCCCGCCCACACACGGGGACAAGGCACAAGGGGCAGGCAGGGAGAATATGGTCGAAAAGGCAGCGCAGAGGGAGAGGTGGCAATGGGAGGGCAGTGATGGAATGCAGAGGCGCATCCAAGCAGCGAAGCAGATGAGGCAAGTCCGTAAATATGCTTGCAGCCCCGTGCGCTACTCCTTTGCAGCGATCAACTGGTGAGGCAGGTGCAAGTGCGAACCCCACCTGCTTGCAGGGAGTCGGCGGTAAGCGGTGCAGAATGGCCTGGCAGCGCGCCACGAGGCGAGGGCAGCACCAGCCGCCCCACCGCCACCGACGACGATGCCACCGTGTCCTCTGGGCGGCCTTGTCTGGCCCACATGCATGCAGGCGCCGTGCAGGAAGCGAGGGGTGGGGGGAGGGCACGTGGCACAACATCAGTTTGAGGGGTGAACGTAGCATGTGATGCACCGTGCGCATTGTCAGGGCGGCCATGCGATGAATGCATCCAGAGAGATGAATGAGTTGAGTGCAGTGAGAGCATGGGTATGTGGTTAGTGCATTGAGGGAGATGCCGTGAGTCGAGCACATTGGCAGGCAAAAAAGGGTGGCGGCAAGCAACAAGGCGGAGAGGCACCCACCCGGCGAGCATGAAGAGGGCGGGAGAGGCAGCGCAGGGGAGAAGGCGCGCGCAGTGGGTTGGCAGCGCTGCCGCAGCAGCCAGGGGCAGCGCGCTGGTGCGTGCAGCACACGCATCCAGCACTGGCCACCCAGCCGTTTCCCTCTCCTGCACGGTTCAGATCAGAGGGGTCACGTGGGAGATAGAGCAGCAGAGGTGCAGGGGTGTTGCTGCACGTGGAGAAGATGCGAAGAGACGAAAGGTGGAGAGAGAAGGATGACAGGGAAATGGTGCATTGACAGATGGAATGACTTTGCTTGATAAATACACACCTAATCAAAACAGTGCCAGTGCAGTGGGCACCTTATGGGGGGCGTCCATGGCAGTGGGCACCTTATGGGGGGCGTCATGGCAGTGAGCACCTTGTGGGGGGCGTCATAGCAGTGGGTGAGCATGCGGGTGCAGAGGGTGTCAAGGAAGAGCGCCTCCAGCATCTCATCCGCCTCCACCACACTCGCGAGTCAGCAGCTCCGACACTCCCCGTGTCGACCCCCGCCTCCCCCGCCCACCCACTGCTTGCCCGCGCCTCCTCCCCCCTCCCTCGCTGCCTGTGCCCCAGTCACTGCTCTCTGCCTCCCCCGCCCCCCTCCCAGCAGGCACGGCTGCTCCCCCGGCCCCTGGTGCCCGCCCTGCCCCGCTGCCACCGCCGCTGCCAGGAGGCAGCTCTTCTCCGCGGACTGCCCCCTGCGCCCTCCCCTCCCCCCACTCCTGGGGGAGCGTCGGGGGGAATGTCCTGGGGGTGGTGCTGGCGAGGGCTGGGGCGCCGGGGAGGGGAGGTATGGCAGCAGGGCGGGTGCCGCATGTGCCGAGCACGAACTGCTCCACCACCCACGCCGCCAGCTCCCTGCCACATGCGCTGCCGTGCTTCCCCCCCCTCACTGCTGCTGCGCCCACTGCACCGTTGCCCTCCTTGGCAACTTCCTTATGTGCCTCATGCTGGTGCTTGGTGGTAGTGGTGTGTGGAAGAGGCATGCGGTGGTGAGGATGGGCGTGCAGGAGGAGCCCAGAGTGGTCTGAAGGAGAGGTGTGATTGGCGTGTGTTGTGAGAGGGGGGTCAGGCGGGAGGGCGTGTTTGAGGATGTCTGAGAGCGTGGGCCACGGCCGTGCGCCACAGCTGAA